GGGTTGGACTCAACAAGCATCTTCAGAGCATCAGTATCAATTCCAACATGTCGGCCCCTGCCATCAGAGTTCTTAAAACTAAAGTCACCTGAACGAAATTTGCTGAATCATCGTTGACACTTACAAATGTTCAAAAAATTTCCATAAACTTCTTTGATATTCTTTGTGGCTACAGAGGCATTGTTTCCCTTCTTGTATTCAAACAGCATTACATGCCGAATGTGTGTCTCATTGTGTGCCATAACTATAAGGGATTATAGTATATTTGATTACTAAATTCCACTAACCATTTAGCACTATTAACATATCAGTTTATACAAGTTATGGTAATGCTCATGACACTTGAGTTTTATAGTATGCTTACAGATGCATCTTTAATCAAAAGCATTGAAATATTTAACATGAAGCAATGCTCCCAAGATTAAACCTGTGTTGGGTAGGCAATGTTTTTCATATGCCAGATGACTGCCTACCAAAGAAAATTTTTGTATGATTACTTGTAACAAAGCAGATGATTGCAACTATGTCCAAATAAAAGATATATAGACCCACTTAATAATTCACTGAGGAGCTGCCAGATTGATCCAAATGGACTGAAAGAGCCTGCTTCAAACAAAACAGCATCAAACACGGAGGATTTTAGTTTCCATAGTAACCAAAAAACTAGTAAATTGCAAAATAAAGAAATCAAAACATAGTACAGTACATATCCAGAAATCCATTGCAACAAGCTATGAGCAGAACTTACCTGTGAAACTTGTAGAAAATGTTGTTTCTTCCACAATATTATCAACACAAACTGAACAAAACAGGTGCTTATGTAATTAATGGATAGTTTACTTAGCATATTTTCATATGACATTTTCAAGTATGAACATTGATCTTTATTTGAGTTGTAAAAACATTTTTTTCATGGCTTCATGAATATATTGCTTGAACTAAGATGGTGTGAAATAAAATGTGTAACATTGATGTATATTTCTCCTGTCCTTTACGAATTTGTAGAAATAATTAAAGAATAACTAATTTCAATTGAGATTATACAACAAAAAAATCAGAATGCTTACCAGAGAAGTATTGAAAAGTGTTAGAATTTGTTTTCTTGTCTAATTGCAAGTATTTAACTCGGTATATGTTGCATGTTAATAACATGTTTAAGTCAATGTATGATTTTTTTTAACAGAGGCTACTGAAGCACAGTAAACCAGGTCAACTCTATGTAATTGTATGTGATGTGGTGAACACAGGTATTCCTTACAGTGATACCTTTTCTGTAAAGTCCCACTATTGTCTAACAAAAGTTACCAATGGCCAGTGCAGGCTTCGTGTGTGTGGCAGTGTGTACTACAAAAAATCTGTGTGGGGACTTGTGAAATGTAAGGAACCATTGCAGTTTGATCCTATATATATATATGTGTGTGTGTATGTGTTTAATATGATAGTCAGAATTTGATCATTAATTTTTCCTTTTTTTTTTTGCAACAGTGAACATCTTGTATAACAGAGAACTTAACAATATTCTAATAATATATTGTGGTTTTGACTTAATATGTATTTCCATACTAATTGCATGTGAATCATTGTGATTGACTCAGATACAAAAGAAATTAAGTTAGGACCAGCTTTACAGACTTGTTAGTTAAATTTGTTTGGAATATGACATTACCATTAAAAAAGATATTAAATAACTATTAAATAAATTTTTAGATTAAAAAAATTGCTCATGCATCAAGGATTCACGATGAGCGAGTTAATTACGACTTGATTTAGGTATAATTCACTTAACAGGGAGCTAGCTAGCTAGCTTTGTCCTTCGTTATTCACCAGCCACACACGCCGAGTTTTCCACGATGAATTTATATAATGTTTTCGTAAAAATACTAGTGTCCGATGAGAATCCACTGAAGCTAAAGGATTTATAATGTTCGAACTTTGTAAAGGTTCCTGGTGAAATATCTGAAGTTTTCCGATTGATAAGCATTATAACAATCACAATTATAGCTTCCAAAGTTTATAGCAAACTACTAATAGGTACTCTCTTTTGGCCTGGCACATTGGTTATATTTATAGGCATGTGGAGGCCTTCTAGAAAATTCAGTTTTACATAACAATACTGATGCTATATTTAAGCACTTACATACATACATACATATATTGTTGATTCTTACTTTCGAGAATCTTCTACAACTTTGGAGAATAGGCAGGTGTTTTGCAATACATATTTAACACTATAAGCTATGCATGTTTTTAAATATAAACTTAATCTAAACAACATTGATATTAAAATAGATATATAATAACAAATTTGTTACATAATGTACACATGTAAGATGCCAAAATTAGAAATTCTGGTTAATATGAAATGTTATAAAGTTGTAGCTTTATTGATGTGATAGGTTTTAGCAGTATTCTATAAAACTAAGCAAGTACAAATATTTTAGGTTTAATCTAACTTCAGTGGAAAAGTAAAATATACAAGAAATACTTTGACAGAAGGCAAACCTTACTGAAAAAATAAGAAGTTATACTGTAACTTTAGAAAGCTGTTGTCTAATAGTTTTCTGTTGAAGATTGGTTTATCATTTGGAAACTATGATGCTCATACTCTGTGTTTTAATAGTGCATGCAGTACCGGATTTGGGAGCTTATGTCATGATACTGATATACTATACATAAAAACTGTTATGCAAGTATGAACAGATGTATGTAAAGATGTAGAAAAATTAAGAGTTTTTGGATATATTTTAGAGCTCAATGAAAGCCATAAATATGATTAAATAGAAACAGTATTTTCTCAAAACATGAAAATTAGCAGATATTGTGAACCTTCATATAAATGTCGAATTTAATTCTATACATTGTACAGATATTTTTCTACTAGACTAGTTGAGATCCATGGAACATCAGGGAAAGAAAGAATTTGATTTTAAATAACATTTAGTGGAAGGAGAATTAGTATTAAGTAAAATATATTTGCAGCAGACAGTTGGATAAACTCTATATATTTTTTTTGAAAAATGAAAAAAAAAAACATTTTACCGTAAATGACAGTGTTTTTAATCATGACAAATACTACAATATACATAGATTTAGGAATGGATCTTAATTTTTGTAAGACTGAGAACTGGAAGTACGTGCATGTGTACTGTTATAAATTAGAAAAGCAGACCCTATATTTTTTACTTTTATAAGTGTAACCTTCTATATCTTTACACTTATACATGTATAAGATTTTATAAGATTATTTATTTTACTTTATTTTCTATTTAGGAGCTAAATATAATACCTATGTTAAATTACTTTATTTTAGTGTAATAAAAATTTTAATCTGTACTTAATTTCTTAGCTCTGATAGAAAAAAGTGCTGTTCAAGGGCTTCAAGATTTCTGTGCTGACTTAGGTAAACGTTTTAAAATTTCACTATTTAGTTAAACATTCACTGATGAGAAATAATAATGTAAGGAAAAAACATTTATAGACAAAAAAATCTACAATAGTTGATAAGAGATTTAATTATTTCATGAATAAATTCATTTCATTTTACTTGCCTAAGCTCTTAGTGAAATTTAATTTTTTTTTCATAGCTACTATAAATTCTGTCAACAAGCAAGCACAGACAATGTTTTACTGAAATTTACTTTCTGTAGCAGACAACTCTATATTAGAATACATTTAAAATCACATATTGAAAGTTGTACATACAATAGCTTGAATTTTTTTTAATTATTGAAAACATATATTTAAACAAAACAAGCTTTTATTAACTCTATGAGACCTGGGTGTATCAGTTTAATGCATCTGTTATATAATTTATTTTATTGCATTGTGAAAAAAAGAATGAATAAAATAGTTAGAAATTTCAAAATTACTTTTTTGCAGATTATGTCGTTTTTGCAAAAAAAAAATCTTATTTTCATATGTAATATTTGTATGAATTAGCAGCTTTGAAACTTCCAAAAGGTTTGATTATCATATGTTTTTTAAGAAACAATTAAAGATGTTTACATTTGTTGCATATTTTAATCACTGATTCATATGTTTTCCTAAATTCTTTTAATACTTTCCTATTTTAACTTTTATTTTGATTTGAAAAACAATGCACAAAATTGTTAACCACAAAATTTCAATGTGTTGACTATCACAGGCATCTATAAAAGAAAGTTTTATACCATACCAAAATCATAATCAAACTAACTTTTTTTTAATTGTTAACCACAAGATTTCTTTAAATATATGTAATAATTTTCTAACCCATCTTGTATTCATTTATATATATATATTTTTTTTTTCCATTAAAATTTTTTTTTGGCAATTTTGTTACTTAGTCCGATATGAACTAATACAGAAAAAGAACAAACACAGCACCATTGTCAACAAAAGGAAGCTTGATACAGTTGAATGCAAATTGGTTTAATTAAGCCTACCTCATCTTGTTCAACAAAAATGCTATCTTTTCCTATCGCCCCCCAGTGGTACAGCGGTATGTCTGCGGACTTACAACGCTAGAAACCTGGTTTCGATACCTGCGATGGCCAGAGAACAGATAGCCCGTTGTGTAGCTTTGTGCATAAATTAAAACAAATATATATATATTTTCCTATCACACTCCACTATTATAATTTTAATGCAGTATAAAATGATAAAGCAATCTATTAAAAGATAAGTCAGGACTATTAATTGTAGTGGAAGTTTTCACAAAAATTTTTTTTATTTTTCAGCATATCACTAACTAAGTTAAACTTTTATTACCTTGCTCTGACTTGTAAGCAAAAATCTGCCAAACTGGAAGCCCTATTGGCTTTTACAGTTCATAAAAATGGAAATAGAACTTTTACAACATGTTTAAGTCAGGAGGATATGACTTCTTGAAGAAGAGATATAGGCAGTTACATCACACCATAACAACCAAAATTGAGAAACAATGATTGGATAGAAATCAATAAAACTACACTTGTATTTAAATTACAAAGACATTAGCACCATTTTGTTCAAAACTATTATCACTTTCATACTAGGGAATTATGATTTGATTTTATATATGCAGTTAAATAGATAAAAGTAGTAAATAAATTAGGGTTTGAAGTTCTTTAGTTGTTTATTAATTTGTGGAAAAACGATTGTATGTTTATATTCTATAATTTTTTTAGCTCAGTGGTACAGTTTTGCTCTTCAGGCAGACTGCACCAATTATCTAGACATGAAAGAGCTAAATTGTACTTGAAAATATAACTGATGATATGACATTATTATATATGTTTATGCTATTAAGTTGAAGAAATGCATTTAATTGTTCACATTATGTTAACATAGTTGATGGACTATTTTGAATAGAACATATTTACGTTACATACAATCTTTAAGTAGTCATGATTTATCATTTTCGTTAGAATGGTGCACACTTCTGATACAGTTTCACCTACTTTCACACAAAGCCTATATATATCCCATCAATTTCGCTCCATTTCTGAACATGTACATATCATGCAACTACTCTTCACCAATAGTATTGCACCACCTATACTGGCACAGCTAAGCTCCCTCTGCTATTCGTGCTCAATCCTCATTTTCTTGATTGGCACAGCATTGTTTAGATCTGTGTTTTTAGCCATGTGGATTTCAGATCATGGATCTCCTTTCTAGACCCACAGTCACCACATTGTAGTCTTAGCTTTCCATTTACCTAGCTCCCTGAATCTGATGGTGGATCGATTATCTTCTCCAAACAAGATTCTCCTCATGGAGGGGGTATTTCATTCCACAGATATTACCACTATCTGTCTTCATGCATGATTTTTGTCAGGTCCATTGTCTCAGCCCAGGGACTAAATCCATGTGTTGCATCTTTTCTTTCCTGATCCCTTAGGCCTTCTTTCATGTCCCTTTGCCAGGGATGTTATTATACCTTCCAAATTTGGTCTCTTCACCTTGGTTTCTGTCTTTATCACCCTTCCATCTTTCCCTATTCTTCATCTGGTTGTTAGACAGAGGCTTGTCTACTTTGATCATGTCTAGCTATCAGAGGGCCTAGTTATCTTCCTTCTGTTTCTCCAGCTTTCATCTGGTTTTGTCTTCCCTGGTCCTTTCTCTTCCTTTCTGTTCCTTTGAATTGTCTACTGGGATCTCAGTATGGTCCTTTATGCCATTCTTGTACTCCATTTAAACCTTTGTCATCATGTTCCATCTACCCTAAGACCTATAGTGCCAGTTTAAGTGGTTTGGCTTTCCCATCCATTTCCTTACCTTCCATTTTCCATCTGTACTCCCATTCCGATCCTGATTGGCTTCTTTGTCCGGTTTGCTCCTTAAGGTGACATGATTTGTACTGCCTCCTTTCATAGTTCATGTTCCCAACATTTTATTCCCTAGAACCTTTCCATTTCCTGTGATCTGTCCCTTGTCACACTTACTGGTTGGGTTTGTGAACTCATTAGGCTGGTATATTTGGACTTATCCACGGAATGTTGCCACCCCCACAATGTTTCTTCTTATCAGATTCATCAAATCATTATGTTCTTGGCTACACAACATTGGCTTCCTATGGAAGATATCATTTAGGTCAGAAGGTGGACTACTTCCAATACCTTTGTCACTCATTATCTGCATGACCTGATTGTATCTTCCTTTAGTGGATATTGTCTCTCTCTCATGGCAATTCTACACATGTGGGTTCGCCTTTGACTGGGGTAAGTATTATCACTTCATTTCTGTTTTTATTTCAGGATCACACTCTTTTGCGGGTGTTGTCTGGTCAGGTATGCTTTGCCTCATACCCACACTATTTACTGATTGCACTATAATGCTCACTGTAGAGATGCGATGTTACTGCAAGACCACTGGTGGCATACCCAATGGTGTGTGTGTGTGTATATATATATATATATATATATATATGCTAGATATCAACAATTTTCAATCTCTGGTGGATTGTCACTCATGGACTTCATGAGTAAAGCAGAAGGGGATCTCTGCCGATCGTTTGATTGAATAAATTGGGGTCAGTCTCCTTTTTAGAATAAGGAATCATGGACACCCATTGAACTGTCTCTGGTATAACATTCCTCCAGACTCTCCAATGTTTACTCCCCTCCTTTTTTTTCCAGTGGAGCACAGGAGTCTGTACTACTTCCTAGTTCCTAGTACTGAGTGAGCTTAGAAATTTACTTTACCATACATACTCATGATTATCCACTCAGTGAGAAGAGGGCAAAGCTGGTTTCCCTCCTTCTATTTCCCATGGATGCTTTTTCTCAGGTGGACAAATATCAGTTGGAGGGGGTCCAGCCTATGAGGGATCTTCATCATAATGCCAAGTTCAGGATGACAATGCCCTGTTCCTACAGTTGTGTGCAGTAGATGCCTCTCTTCTCATTAATTCTGGTTGCAGAAGGTTCTTTCCCTGCTCCTACAGTTGATGTTGGGATATTTTGTCTGCTTCATGATACTGGCATTAGGACACATGCGCTGTGTTCATGTGATTGGGCAAATGTTCCATGTCCTCCTTGTAATTCTGGATGCAGAATGTCTCTTCCCTGCATTTACAGTTTGGTGAGTTATAATTTTGTCTGGAATGCTGGTTACAGCTATTACCCTCTTCTTATTGTTAAGTTGAGTCAATGCCGCGACTTTGTAATACCAGTTTCAGTTTGCTGTACTTCTTGCTCATACAGTTGTTTGGAAGTTTGTCCAGTTTTGATGTAAAGCTCACTTTCTCTTCATAATTCTGGTGGCTTGACATATGGCACTGTTTACTTATGGTTGGGGATGATGGGTGTGTGTATATATATAAAACACTGTTCACATACCCTAGGCATGAAATTGTTGTTACAATTTGTTTTCATCCTTAAACTCCTAATGCCGAGGATGAGATATGGAACCTTGTCTGTCCGGTTGAGGTTGGGTATGTACCTAGCTAATTCTATATATATATATATATATATGTTGCTACAGCTTGCACTTCTCAGAATATATTACGCTTGTGCAAGTATTTTCCTTTTCCATTCATTTTGGATTAATTTCCTACTTCCTGGGCAAAGAGCATACCTGTTCCAGAAGTAGTGCTTTATTCCACAGGTGTGCTTCATTTTCATCTCCAAGCACCCCTGTTCATTCTCGACAGTCACTTTCTGGTTGGCTTGATATTTGTGTGCTCACACCAGCCCCTCCACCTTTGCGATGTGGGAATCTGGCTTTGTGTGAGAGGAGGTAATAATCTATCAAAATTTAACATTTTTCTTTCACTGAAAATGTATTTCTGATAGGTACTTCCCACCCCTCCTTCCCAGTTCTCCTTTTGGAGCCTGCCAATTTTCAAAAGTGAGGATTAAGAGGGAATAGCAGAGGGATCTAGCTATGCCAGTATAGGTGGTGCAGTGCTATTGGTAGAGAGTAGTCTCATGATATGTACATGCTCAGGAATGGTGGGAAATTGGTGGGATATATAGACTGGTGCACTGATTAAAAATTTTTTTTATAAATACTTAGAGGGCAGACAAACATCGAGATAGCTTTGTGTTAGTATACATTTGGATTATGACCCAACTTAGAAGTTATTAGTTTGGGGAGGTTCAAGGTCACAGAAAAGTCACAAAAAATCCAAAAAATCCCTATCTGTTGATGTGGGAACTGATTTTTTTATACTATTTTTGCTCTATAACTCAGTCAAAAATGATTGGATTTTGAAGAAACTTGTTGGACATGTAGAACATTATTCCTCATTGTCCTGCCAAAAATGGTCTCTGTCTCTGTCTTTACAGACATACATATTTTTTTGGGGCCAAATATGATCAATGCCGCGTGGCGGAGGTATGCGCTCTACTGAGTGCCCCTCTAGTTGTTTTTTTTACATTCAGAGTAAAATTATCTGAGCAGATAAACTTTTACCTCATCAAGTTTTGTTTTTCTCAAAATATCTTAATACAGGGTGTAAAGTTTGGTACAAGTAGTTATTTTGCACGTATTTATATGCTTGCCATTTAATACAAGCATTTACCTTGCAGACCTTATAGAAGACTTATTACGTATAATAACAACTAGCATTTTTCCCCAAATTTAGAACATGTAGTTAGACTGAATTTTATTTTATTAAGCGAGACTTATTAGTTTAGCTTATGTGTTTTGCTAACATGTTTAGTGCCTTCAGTTTTAGTATCTTTAAATTATATGACAGTACATTACTCTTTTCTTATTCTTATTGATTACTTTAAACTAGAGGCTGCACTCAACAAAGAAGCTGACCTTATGAAACAACAATCAACAAAGAAACCAAGGCGTCGTAAAAGAACTAAATTGGTTGAATTTTCTAAAGTAGATTCTCATAATAGGTTATCAAGGTCCTTGCACACTCAGACCACTGGAAGGAAGCTATGTAAGTACCTAGAAACTACAAAAGTTTACACATTACGTTACATTTTAATGTAGGTTTTAAATATTTTCGTACTGGAACATTATAAAAAGTGAACCTTATGCTACTCGGCGATAGAGTAAATTGTTTTTCGCTATTGAATTATTATTAATATGTTTATAAATAATCTGAAATTACAATCTTTTAGCTTTTAAGTTCTTTCTTTCTGTTACAATCTACAAAAGAATTGGAAAAAGTTACTAATGTTTGTTTTTTGTAGCTGTACCATATTTATCAGGAGTGGAAAGTGAATCTTTTGGATATTCCTCAGATTTTATCATTAAAGTGATCTTGGCCACGTAAGTATGCAAATACTACAAAATTATGCTGTTTGACTGATATATCTCTATGTTTTGAAGTTTTACAGATTAAAAGATCTTTGAATTCTCATTAGGTTAAGAATGTATTTTTAATTTGTTTTGTTCCTTCTAGATTATTTGTGTTGTTACTGCTGAACATTTTATTGTTTTACAAACTGTGGTCTCTGGAAGATGAAACACTAGACATTGAACAAGCTAATCATCGTGTGTTTGATGTACCGCTTGAAAGGTAAATATGTATACATATAAATTATATATATTCCTTTTTAACCCTGATTTTAAAACTTGGGTAATAAAATTCAAGGTGAGGTGTGGTTGGCTTAGTGGTTAATATGCCTGATGGTATTAATGAAGCTCCATTTTCTTGTCCCATTTTCATGGAAAACAAACTGCACTATTCACTTTGGGGTTGTAAGTGCATTGTAAGAGTGATAGTCAAATACCACTATTTAAGTAAACTAGCCCATTCTCAGACACTTTCATTTTATTCACTTGTTTTTGAATAATTTTTTTATCACTATATATACATGTCAGAAAAGCTTTAAAAAGTATATATGAAAGTTCAACAGATAATTACGCATACGTGAGCAATTTTAATCATTGGTAAGTGTAGAATTTTTGAAATTTATACAGCCTTTATGAACAGGTGTAATTAAAAATATTCAATATTAAGTTTTTTAAATGAGGGACTTTACAAATGTATTTACATCTGCTGATTGGTTATAAAAATTCTTAAAGTTTCTGGGATGGAATGGCAGAACAAAATTGACCCAAGTCTTAACTTAAAGAAAAAAAGAATCTCAACTATCAAGCTTTATAGAAAAAAAAATGTATTTTAGGAAAAGTTATGTCTATGGTGTAAGTGTAATTGTGAAATTTGAGCTTCAAACTGACCTAATTAACTAGTATTTGAGTAGATGAATATAAAATGCAAAACACCAGTGTTTCATAGTTAATATTAGCTGCATTTCGTGACTACCATTACAAGTATGTAACTAATAATTTGGTTTGTTTAGAATTTTTGTGCAAAGCTGTACAGAGACTATCTGCATAATTGTCCCGAAGTATGAATTGTTAGAGGAGGAGGAAGGCATCTAACCAGCAGGACTCGCAGCTAATGTCTCGACTATTCATGTCTAACTGAATGGTGTGATTTTATTATAACTCTTAGAGTTCATCCTTGGCCCCAAATATGGAGCATGCCTTTGCTGTAACAGAAAGTGAACCATGAACCCTTGAATACACAGTCTAGGCATGTTGACCATTAGACCACACCCGGCCTATAAAAGTAGTGAACATAAATTCTGTAATCCTGTGGAGGCCTGTATTAGCATACCTGCAGTGATAGTTCTTTTAACATAGGGGGTTGCAACTCCTTAATGTTTTTTTTTAAGTTCTTCCACTGTCTTTGTAAACGAAAACAATGGGTGAGAACAGATGTTATCAGGTTGGAAAGTGTTTTGACAGTGGATTTTATTTATAGGCTTTAAGTGCACTATAATATTAATGTATCTTAAAGATTCACAGATTTTGATTTTTGAGAGCTTAATTTGGCATTATTCTAGTTTAAGTTATGAAACCAGGATAAGCAACTGAGTATCTTTTTATGTCATACATAGAAAATTTTCACTTTTATTTTTATATGTTCTACGTGTGTTCTGTTTGTGAGAAGAAGGCTTGAATTAGTGTGCAGCAAAAGGGAATACAGTTTGAAGACTCACTGAAATGGTCATTGTTCAACAACTGACATTATGACCAGTATTGTTATTCAGATATGTTTGATAGCAAAAATGTTTGTATTAAAATATCTTAATGAAGAGGCAGTTATTAAGGCAAACGTGAATCAGTATATCAGAAAATGTTTAGGAAACTTTAAAAATGTTCTGTTCCAATAAGAACTAAAATCAAAATGGAAGGAGGCAAGTAAAATTATTGGAGCTTTGTAAGTAGGCATTTTGCTTTATTACATGATCATTGGATAAAATACCTAATTGATAATAGGCATTAATGTAGTACATGTTTGTTGCTCATAACTATTAATTACTATCTCTTCTAGTGATAAATTTATTTCTTTTAGTTTAGAGGAACTATCTCAAGATGATTGGATTAAGCTGTTAAAAAATCACGAAGCTCTGCATCAGATAGAGACTGAGAGATGGAAAGATGTGTTAACAGAAGTAATAAAAGTTACTAAAATTGTAAGTATGTATTCGTCTTCAAAGAACATTAATGTAGGGGGGGAGTGATTTGAATCCAATGTATTTGAAGGAAAGTCTACTTTCTGTAAGTGCTCAGATCATTGGATTTTTTGTTTTGTAATACAGGTACATCACTGATTTTCCGGCACCCATGATTCTAGAACCTTCCGGATTATCCATTTTGCCGGACCAACAGAGGTCACGTAATAATAATTCAACAATACACCACTGACCCACTAATTGTACCCCTCTCGTGTCTCTAAAGCACCATGGACTGCTAGAAATTTAAATAAAACAAATATTAAATGTAAATTAAATGATTAATGAAATACATTAGTACAGGTATAAATGATACAGGTTTATTAGTACAGTATGAATGAAAAAGGTTTATTAATTACTGAACTTACACTATTGTCAACATTCTGTATTGTAAAAAAATTGAAGAATAAATCTAACCTAAATACTTGTGTCTTGTTAAACTACATATCCTAGGCAACATTCATGAGAAAATTCAAGCAATTTGATCCACTAGCTTGATATTTATAAGAAAATTTTCATGAGAGTGATGTACCTAAATGTAAGTAGCCTGTCCCAAAAGATAATGCCATCTGTGACCGCCCAGTGAACTAGTCTGGTGGTCGCGGGAATTTCAAGTGTGCTCTTGTAACTTTGTCCGGATTAAAGAAGGTGTCAGACCATCAGTTGCTGGAAAATCGGTGGTGTAATGTATAAACAATCATTATTTTCATAAATATTGTTACAATATAACAACCAATTTCCAGTTTATTTCTCATAGACTTGTTACATGTTTTTATAAAGATACATTTTAAATTCAACACTTGTTTCAATAGATATATTACTAGTTATTTGTCAACATCATTTAAAGACGTTGCAAGTTTCAGTTTGTATAAAACTGAGAAAAATGATTTATGATAAAATGGTGAAATAAAAGTGCAAGTATTTTTTACATTACAAAAAAAAAAACTCGACTAATATATTACTCAAATACTTAGGGTTTCAAAAGGTGTACTTCTAAACCTAGTATTAGAAGAAGGGACATCCAAGAAAACGTACAGATGGTAGTGTCATTCAAAGTATTTCAACATGAGGTGAATTCAAGAAATACTCAAAAACATTGGCAGAAATACAAAATATGTATGGTGTTAGAATTAAAAGTAAAATAGACCTGTTAACCCTATCAACACGGGTCAAAGGCCATGTCATCACATTTGTTGACTCGCATTCAAAATTTTATTGAACTACTATGTTATGAATGTATGTCAATACTTTTGGTATCAAATTGTAGATTATAATTCATATTTTAGTATTATACATTAGTTAATTTCTTACTTTAAAAGTAAATATTAAAAATGAAATTCTGAATATTGATTTTTGAGTGTCATGTGGTACGTTGAATTCAGCATTGGTTCAAATTAGATGTTTGTGATGTCCAAATACAAAATCTGTAGTTTCTTACGAATTAGATACTCAAATTACCAATATTGACAAGCTAGAATGTAAAATAAGAACCTCCTATTTTTTCTATTTTCTGAGATATTAATATATTTATTGAATCAACCAAAGTGGCCCTGCCCACCTCTTCAGTTTTTGAAAATACCTGCTTACATACACCTACTTCACCCAGTGATGTGTGTATGACCAAACGCAAGCTCAGAATGTACCTTTAGTGGTTTTCTCAGCCTCTTTGAAGTATTTGGATGGCAAACTCTTTCTTTTCATGCTAGATTCCAAGCAGTAAGGTAAGAAATTAGTGAGCTCGAAATTTTATATTTTTTTTAGACCCCAAATACAACTTAGTTACTAAGCTTGATAAATTATAGTGGAATTCTGTGGTATTGATATAATAATTTATGATTTTTGGTTATTTCTGTATGAATATATAAAATCTAAAAAAAAAAAACAAAAAAAAAACAATATTTTGTTTCACATCCTCCAGATGTGAAATTTGATAAGGCTTAGCAACCTATGGCAAGCAGCAAATGAGTACAAAGAAGAGATAATTGTTTGCTATACTTCTTTATTTACTGTTTTTTGTTTTAAGAACTTATTTGTAAATAATAATAATGTGTATACATATGTATTATAACTGAAATGTGACTGTATTTTAGAAAATACTAGTCCACTAATACACAGCCAAGACAGGTCACTTTGTAAAGGCCAGTTTTATATTCTTGGATACGGTAACATGAGTGCCACGTCATTGCAACTTCTGTAATGTTAGCCAGCCTGGTCAATATAATAAAAATAATAAATATATATAAATGTATAATGTTATGAGATTTAAGCTGTTTAGACAAAACATTTGTTATAATTTGTAGTCATTCTAGAAGAAAAAAAGCATAATTTATATCTACTCCTAATATTTTATGGTGGTTATGAGGTCAGTCATATCGACTGAACCTGTACAGAGATACAGTAGTGAAAATAACAGATAAAAAGTAAAAAATTTTTCTAAAAAAACATATGATAATTATCTGGAGGTTATAAAGACTTTGCATGTGAAATTTGACAATTATATTATGCATAAAAGTATTTTTAACCTTAAAATCAAAATTACTCTGCATGTTGGATAGGCAACATTCGATAAGAAAAATGCAAGAGAAAAAAATTTTCCTAAGAAATCTTAAAACTTAATCAAAAAACCTGGTATTTTTTATACGAAAGCCTTGTAATGTTTACTGATAATATGCAAAATTTTGTGAAGATACGCTTACTAATTTAAAAGCTATGGCATGAAAACAATAACAAGCACAAAATGATTATGAGGTCAGTCCCAGAGACCTAAAAGATAGTTGCAAATGGCCTATATTGAAAAGTTGCATTCCAATTTATAGTGGGAACGTGTCAAGCATTTAAATTTTGCAAAGGTCCACAGAAATTAGAAGAATAAATGGATAATGTGCTGCAGACTGACAAAACAAAGAATATTTTGTTATTTGGGAGAGTTTTTGTAATGAAAGCATACTGAGATAAGTGTAAACAAAACAATGAAAATATGATAGAAGATGTATAACAATGATTTTTTTTATGCCGAAGGAATTGAAGATATTGTCGATATTAGTGGTATTATGTGAAAAGGAACATGAACAGAAGATGACAGTTAAAATGCTCTGGAATTAGAATTTCAACACAAAGCCCCCCAGTGGCACAGCAGACTTACAACAATGTCTGCGGACTTACAACACTAGAAACCGGGTTTCGATACCCTTGGTGGGCAGAGCACAGATAGTCCATTGTGTAGCTTTGTGCATAAATTCAAATAAACAAAATAATGGTCCAAGACACATTGCCTTACTGAATAAGAATTATTTGCAGAAGAAAGAAAAAAGATGGTTATATAAGCACTAGGAAATAGCTAGCTATCCCAGAGTCACAATGCCAAATCATTTGAACATTTGTTGTAACAACTGAAAAGTAATGTAGCAAAAGAGTAGCCAACTCAGCCAAAGGTAATGTTGGGAGAAGGTAAAAAAAAAGGTTGATAGTCTCAGTAGCTGGTAGCATCTAGACTGATTGATGTAGTCATATAGTTAAGGCTAGAGGAGTATCTACTAGTTATTGAATATTCAGTTTGTATGTTCCTAAATGAACTTTTCATACCTGATTTTGCAATACGGGAGAAAGTCAGTTATAGGAACCATTTGGTATTTGAGGCATTTGAATAACTGATTTGTTAAGATAATTGAAAGATTTTTTTATTCAGTTTCTAAATGCAATTAGGTATAGATTGATAACATAGTCTTATTGGATCATCTCAGAAATACACAGACAAAAATACTGTATTTGTACAGCAAAATCAACTACAAAAGAATAGAGTACTATTCTTACACAGTACAGTCCATGTGCCATTGTGTTAAAGAAAGAAATTGCTAATCTTCTTTTGTTTCAAATTGCTGGGTCTTTTGTTAATAACCAAGAAATGCAGTTGTTTCATAGATATAGGCCATGCAGCCATTTTCTTGTTGTATTTCTAAGCTCTTTAGAGCTGTCTCTTGGGTACCAACTGCTTCAGTAAGTAAAAAACTTAACTTTGTATCAGAGTTGACTTACTGGTGAACAGAAACGATAGTCTCGTTGTTTCTGAGATTGGGTGTGGTATAGAGTGTTCATACAAATGTTAGATCCTTTTTCTTGGGTGGCAGAAGAACTAGTTGCTGAGTACATGCTCATCTGTTGCTTCTGCATTCCTCCTATCAAGGAAGGGCTCATAACTGCCCCGTGGGTAGCTCACTCCTCCAACTGATGCCTGCTGTCTTACTTGCAGACAAACAATTTTGGGCTGGCAGATGTTATCCACCAGTTAAAGCTCCAGTATCTCTAGGCAGGTCTTTGGTGGCATGGATAAGAATCTGTATTAGGGTATCTTGGTCTATGGGTCCTTGGAGCCCACTACAGATCTCTACATTTAGTCTCAGATTTTTTAAACCACACATCATTATTATGGCCCCTCAATCAACTATGCTTTCTGTACACAAAGATCTATCCTCATGGTTAGAACTCAAATGGAAGCTCTGAAGGCCCTGATCTGTGTCAGTTCCCCTTCCTTCATTTTTGATTACAGTAAGATTGTGGTCATTGACCTACACAGCAGCAGTGAAAGTCCAACATCTAGGAGAGGATTTCTACAAACCTGAACACTAGATGATAAACTCTTCCTCTTAAATGCAATTTTTCCTCCTCCTAAGACATTGAAACTTAAAACTACCCAAGAATTATGAATAGCACAGTAAAAAACAAACATTAAGAAACCATTAAGAAATTTTGTCTTACTACATTACTTTTGGTGTTTTAGGGATACTGAAAACCTTGGAGATAAGTGTAATTTCTCTAACTTTGTCTGAGTTTGAAACCACAAAGTGTGAACAAAGTCAAAAGTATTCTTTTTTTTGCAAGAACACAAAGGCTAATGAATGCACAGATTGAATAGATAAACTTTATACTGTAGATCTGTTTCTGGTTCTAGATCTGTTCAAGATTGTAATTTATTCCAGGCCAACATAGCACAGTACTATAAGCAAAATCGTATTGTGCCACATCTTTCAGTACATGCATGCTACGTTTCATCTGTTGGTCATTTCACTATGGAAACAGGCATCACATGACACACTAGTTGAAGAGATTGCTATTCAGATTTACACTGTGTGGTTTACTATACAGTAATCCTTCCCATGAGAAAATGTATGTGACACCAAAGGGGAATGATGCAGAACAAGTAGATAACTATATGAAAAAGATCAAGTTCATATGTATGTGTGAAAGTAAAAGCAATTTGAACCCAAAAATATCTTGTTTATATTCCTAAATGTATAATGTATACACATGTAAATTTTTATTTTTTCAATATACTTGCATTTGTTTTGAAATTATGACATTTTGTGTAAAAAATGTACGGAGGTTTAATGAATTACTGTTGAAAACCTTAATCTAATTTTTAGGCTTAGATGTATTGTTAGTAGAAAGAATTTGGATAATTTTTGTCATAAATGAAAATGAGATTAGTTATTTTGTCTTTGTAATTTCAGATGGAAACATCTCTTACTGATCTGAAGAGTAGCATAGAATTGTACAGTTCTGTTTCGTTATTGAATACTGCCAGCTTCACAAATCTCAAAGAATCACCCTCCACATCACATGGCTTCAAAAAAGACGTTTTAACATCACGCAACTCGGATGAGAATTTGATGCTGCACAGCTTTGACAAAGATACTTCATCATACATATTGGAAAAAACTGAAAGGATGGAAAAAGTTCCTCAAACTGTTTCTAGAGAACATCAATTAGAATATGAAAAATCAGTAAAATGATATTTACTCCAGTTTTTCTTGAGACTAGTATTGTTTTCATATGAAGTTCAGTTACTTGAGCTTAGCTTAATAAAATGATCATTTTCTAATATTTATTTCTTGAATGTACACTTGTATATAATGAGAATTGCATGTGTAATGAATCTCAGTTTTGCTCAATTCTCTCTGTATTTATCTATGTAATGATTTTTGAACAGTTGTCTTTTCAGTGGTTTAAGCTCTTGTTAACTTATATATATATATATATATAATGATTGCACTATGAGAAGAGCTGAACATAACCAATATTAGGGAGTTGTATAGGTTAGTTTCTGCTTCTGAATACTCATGAAGTAATAGTATTTGAATAATATTTGTAACAGAAGTAACAAGCAAAGATTGTTTCTGTTCTTTTGGATTATTCCAGATCAACAAAGTCAATATTCTGTGTCAAACAAAATGTGTGTAAAATATATTAAACAGTTAAATTTTTCTGTGATTGTAAACTTTCACAGTTATAGTTTGCATGTTGTGATAAGCATTTACTTTTAGGTTATCAGGTTTTTCTCTGCAACAAACTACTTCATTTAGACATTAGTGCTTAGTGGGTGCTGCAAAATATGTTTTTGGCATTTATTTGTCAGTTTAGAACAAAGAGTACATCAAACATAAAAAGCCAAACATGTTTTGAACAGGTTTATAAATGGATTCAAGCCTCTCTTTTAAAACTTGTATTCCTAAGACTTTTTTCTTCAAATGACTTTTGCTTCATAGTACATTTTTTGAAAGATACTAAAAATTTAATGCAAACAGCCAAATTGGCAATTAAACATTAGCACAAGTCATGATAAAGCTGCATATGTTATTTTCTATGCCACCAGTAGTCTATGTTTGATATGTACTCATTTTCTGTTCAGTAGTCTTAGTTTTTTGACAACATATCTAGTTATAGAGTAACATTGCTTGTGCCTGTAAAATGTTACTTTTTCTTCTTCGTTCAAACCTCTTTTGTATTGGCTGCTATAAATCTTTGAACTTGGAGTGAAGTCTGTACCACAAAGGCTACAGTATTTATTTTTATTTTGTAAGTAAATGTTGATTGAGTTCAAAATGAAGTTTTTATGTACATATTGAACCTGTAACATCTGGCTAAATTAACCCTACTTCACCATCTGTCTAGCTGATTGTTTTCAATTTCTAGCAAATCATATACTTTTTGTCTTACTAATTGGATTTCACCATTAATAGAACATATGAAGCTAGTAATAATAAATCTATATGCCTAAAACTATAACTGTTTTACCCAGAATGATGATTAGAATACCATGTTTGAACTATCTGGTCCATGTAATTAGGACAAAGTAAGAATCATGCTGGTAATGGTATTTGTTGTAAAATGCATACTTATGTGTTTTAGACCTAGGGTGTAACACCTCTGATTTTACATCAGTGTTAGAATTTTAGAATTTTTTATTAACAAATATGTCACTTAAATTTTTTTTAATATTAAGGAATTGAAGGCATGATTCTGGTAAAATAATTTTCTTTAGGCTTGTCCAAACATTAAATACATCAACTATTAATTTTTGCAATTTTTTATTTCTACTCACTATCTGTGCTCAAGAGGCATCTGCATAAGTGATACTTCTTGGTAAAATATTTCTACTTGTAGAATACACTTAAAAAACAGAACTTTCTGTGGCTTTTTTTATTAGTAATGTTTTAGTACTTGTCCACATTAAGTATTCTATACTGAAAACAGTTGAAACTTTTAAGTAGTTAATACTCTCAAATCTGTAGGTATAGTTTTAAGCTTATTAAATAATCTATGATTTAGATTCTTAATTCTTATCCTTGTGCATTAATAGAAATATTAAAAAGATCACTATATTCATTTTGTTTCACTTATAAAAAAAAAATTACCTTTCTAAAAACAAATGAAAAAAATATTGACAAAATACTATCCATAATGTCTTGTGTATTTGTATATATTATTTCTTTGTTTGAATGCTATTGCCTTTGTGGTAGTCTCAGTTAAATTCATTTCTGCAAAGAATATTAGGTAGATCTGCTGTGTAACTGGAGGATTGGCAGGATTACTCGCAAAGTAATAATGAATTTAAGTTACTTGACTGAGTTTAAGCTAAGAAATTAAGAGACTGGACTTGATGTGTGATATAAAATTATAGCAGTCATGTTTATTGACAAAAAACAATAATACTGTGTGTCTGTATATACTGGTGTTAGACACTGGTGAATGGCCATGGGTTCATGGAACAATTAATTGATTTTCTTCCCTTGAGATGTCTTTTTCATCAGGAAACTTCTTTTAATACTGTTTAAATCTGATGGTTTGTACTTAATCTAAATTAAAAAGGGTTACCCATAGCAACTAGTGCTACACACATGACTGTTCATTTTCATTCAACATCTGGGAAGTTGTAACCTTAAAATATAATCTGATCTACCAGTGAAGGATGCAGCTGTTGATACATTCTTGCACAACATGCAGCATTGCAGTAGTACCTCACAAGGACAGAACAGGTATTATCTCTAGAGAATAATAAAGCTACTATGAAATCCACTTAAATGCTTTCTGGACTATATGTTAAGAGAAAATTGTATAGACTAAGAATAAACAAACATTTTGTTAAATGTTTGCATTAAAATAAGAAGGTACAAAATGCATGGTAAGTAAGTGTACCACATCTTTATAAGAGATAGGGTGCTGTGTAAACTTTTTCCTAAATTAAATTTTGTTTGTAAATAATTGAGGAATATATTAATATTTATTACGCTAACAGTATTTCAAAGTTCAGGGAGCTTTAGTAATTAATCCTAAGATAACTCAAGTCGGAATAGAGCAATGTAGGCATGGTGGAACATTTAAATGGTAAACAGGGCATTTTTTGTAAAAATGTTTTCTTGAAAAGAAATACAAATAATTATTTTGATTACATTTTGGACAGTTTTGCTGCACTAACTGCACCTAAAATAGATCTTACCAGCAGTTTAATAATAGTATCAGAAATGTGATAATTAAACTAATGTTAAGTTTCAGAGCACTTTAATAATTAATGGCTAAAAATACATAGATTTTTTGTAAAAAGAGACATTCTGTATTTCCATATTGGCTACCATGTATTTTTTGTGAAGTGATAAGACTGTGGTTTAAAAATATACTATATTTGTTTTGTGTTTTTTTACTTTAGATGTGATTGAAGACATGATTTTTCTGAATTTTCTTTGAGTTTAGTGATGAAGTGTAATACCTTTAAATTATAATTTTACATAGTGGTAATTTTCTTATACCTTTATATTACTTTCTTATATAACATACAAAGCTCAGCATCCTGAAGTTACCCTACATTATCATATAATTTTACATACAAATGTTTGTGCATTGCCCCTTAGTGTGTCAATGGTAAATCTGAAGGGTTATAATGCTAAAAACTGAGTTTCGATACCTATGATGGGCATAGTACATACAGCTCATTGTGCAGCTTTGTGCTTAACAACAAGCAAACAAGTCTATGCATTTTCACTGAACATTACCTAAAGGTTATGCTGATGGTTCATTTAATGAGGATTTTCCAAGATCAAGGGTATAGATTAATTTGTAGAAGTTTCTATAACCAATCATTCTTTTAGTCTGCAAGATAAAATGCTATTGGTGTGTTTTAGTTTAAAGTTGAAAAAACTGAACTAAATTTTTTGAAATATTTTTTTTTAAAAGAAGCAGAATAAGGTGTTCTAACTAAACATCAGGCAAAATATTCTTTGTCACAGTAAAGGAAAACATTAAGCTTTCTACTGTACTTCTTGGTTTTTGGGATAACACCTATAGATGTGAAGTGTTAATGCTAGTCCTAGTAAAAGCACAAGTATAACAATATAACAACTTATTGGGTGTTAGTGTTAGAGGTTTGTTGTTCATGTATGAAAAATATATATATATATATGTATAAAACTAATCCCACTAAGATATTGCTGACTTTAATTGTTTTTTTTTAAGCTTTCATATTATCTGAAATGAAAAATGCACCTTACTGTTCAATAATTTTATACACATTAAGAGCAAGGTATCATTCAGAATATTTAATCGAGATTTTCACCTGCATTATGTGACAGAAAAAATATTTAACATTTTAATTCTGCAGTGAACATATAATGTGCGTTGTATAACACTTGCAACTTTTGTGACTGCTTGCATCAATGATATGTGAAACATAAATAAAAACATACTTCTATGAGTGTTTGTGTTGTAAACAAGCATGTCTAGTGAAAACACCCTGTTAATTTATTGATTGCTTACACTTTATAGTCTCTTTAAGTGTTAATTTCAAGTTATGTAATGCTGTGATACTACCCAAATTGTTATAGATAAAAGTACTTCTCTGAGTGATTGTGTTATAAGCAAGCATGTGTAGCGAAATCTACAAGCTATCTTATTGACTGCTTACACACTGAAAGCTGCAAGTGTTCTTTTTGAGTTATGTAACCCTATAATACTATGAACATTTTTAAACGTGTACAGTATACAAAATTTGGTCACAAGAAGTAGCTCAAACAAATGTAGAATTTGGATGCCTGTGTCTAGAGGAGATGTAAGAAACTGTTTTTCATGGGGTTTACGTTTCTAGTGTTGTCTGTTAAAATAAAAGTACTCTTATAATTTCTCTTATCTTAACACTTCTCATCTAGACTACCACACAATCATGATAAAATTTGATTGAAAGGACAGAAACTGCATGTTGTAGAAACACAAGTATAGAGGGCGACATTGAAGACAAAAGGCAGAAGACTTTTGAAACGTTGTCGTCTATACTAGTGTTTCTACAATAGGTAGTTGCTGTCCATTCAACTAAATTTCATCATGAATACTCTGCCTAAACAATCTATTCAAGAACACCACACAATCAGTTCATTCTGTTATGCTTACCTGTTACAACTTTAATTGTTGCATATCATTCACTAAATTGGTATAGATATAACACAGAATTGCTGTCTTAAATGGTTTATTTTTCGAAAGCACTCTAGTTATTGGCTTTTTGTGGGTTATGATTAATTTTCTTTTGTGATTCTTTGTGTTTTCTTAACTTTTTTACATACTTGTCCAATAAACTTGCCTTTATTATATGTTAATTTTACAGATGTTTTCAATTGCTAACAGGAAGAACTCATTAAAAAGTATTTTAATTGAATTTTCAATAATGAATCGTCTAGAAATCTGAGGACTTTAACAATACTTTAAAAAGTTTTAGTATCATTTATTAGTTTTTGTGTACTTTAAGAAGAAAATGCACTTTAAACATTTATTTTCACTACTAAAGATAGCATTAATAACAGCATTTATCAAAAGTGATAACTAGTCTGAATTTTAATTTAATTGGATTATTTGAAAGTGGGTTGTGTTTTGTCTACCTTTTCATAAAGCCCATTGAAGGCATTACATGAACAAGTACTTTTAAAAATTTTTAATTCTCCTAATATCCAAAAAATTATGATTTAAGATTATCTCACACCTTTTGCATGTTATATTAATTTTAATGTACTAAGCATAATGACAGCTTAAAAAAATGTTGTTCAGTGAAATCTCCCTCATAAGATACACAAGTTTTGAGTGACCTAATATTGCATGTGTGTTATTTTAAATAATTCAAGACCATTGCCACTTTTCAGTAAGTTATGATTACGTTATTTTACGCAATTTTACGTTATAGAATGAAAAAAATACTTTATCAGCTGCTATCAATCATACTCCAAAATTATAAACTTTGATCATTACTTTTTGGCTGTAGGTCACCATCAGACATAAAAATGTTTAGATAATGTAAAAGATTTAATATAACAGCACATCATGATGTGCTCACAGTTGCATCAGCATTAACAAGAGTTGATGTGTGTATGCAGAATTGTTGTATTAGTATCTAAAATTGTTTCCTAATCTATTGCTAAGGATAAAGACAGATTAATTATGTGCAATCTAACCTACATAAAAGCCAATGTGTGTCCTGCTTGATTTCTCAAAATAGGAGTCATAAAAGCCAAATTGCATTTATCTAGATAGAATTGTTTGATTACTGTCTGCGCATCATGTACTTTAGTAGTGGGGGGTACTGTTAAACCTTATAAGTGTAGTAAGTGTTAGTATAATAAGCCTAAAGTAAAGACATAGGGTGGGATCACCTACCCTAGAGCCAAGTGCATAAATTTCATCATGAAAGTAGAAATATTGATTAAATTTTAAACTTAAATTGTTACTAAATTAAGCTGTATTAAGCTTTCAAACATTAATTTCTGTAAATACTGTTAACTAGGGACAATAAAAACACCAAAAATATTCTTAGATTCAACGAATAACAACTTCCAAATGTTATTCCTGTAACGTTGTTAATTGGGAACAATAAAAATGTAAAAAATGTTCTTATAGAATCAACAAATAACAGCTCTCACACATTAATTTGCATAAAAGTGTTAACTATAAATACACCAACGTTTTAAATAAAACAAAAAAACCTCTTTAATCAACGGAGACTCTAAATTAAAAAATCAACAAATATTTTTCCAGTTTTGTTATCTATACATTTCATTTTATACTTTCAGTACATACTCTAACAACACTATTAGGTTATACTTTTGTTGCTTAGCAACATGACATAAAAGCCAATGTTGGAATGAAGTGTTACCAAAATGTACTAGCTTTTCTACATAATAAAAGTTGTTAATCTAACTAATTTTTACCAATAATTATTCTATGAAAACACCACAAATTCATTTCATGAATAATCTTAATTTTGATTGGCTCACAAAGGAATATAATGACGTTTGATTGCCTCGACTGTGCTTTTCTGCTTCTTTGTTGGTCAAGCTTG